TCAGTCAGTCAATTAATCACTCAGTCGATCAGTCAATCAGTTAGTCAGTCCATCAGTTGGTCAGTCCATCAGTTAGTCAGTCCATCAGTTAGTCCATCAGTTAGTCAGTCCATCAGTTAGTCAGTCCATCAGTTAGTCAGTCCATCAGTTAGTCAGTCCATCAGTTAGTCAGTCCATCAGTTAGTCAGTCCATCAGTTAGTCAGTCCATCAGTTAGTCAGTCCATCAGTTAGTCAGTCCATCAGTTAGTCAGTCCATCAGTTAGTCAGTCCATCAGTTAGTCAGTCCATCAGTTAGTCAGTCCATCAGTTAGTCAGTCCATCAGTTAGTCAGTCCATCAGTTAGTCCATCAGTTAGTCAGTCCATCAGTTAGTCAGTCCGTCAGTCAGTCCGTCAGTCAGTCAGTCAGTCAGACAGTCAGACAGTCAATCTATCACTCAGTCAGTCAGTTAGTCCGCTCAGAGTGTCAACCAGTCAGCTGGTCAGTCAGTCAGCCAGTCAGTCATTCAGTCAATCAATTAGCCAGGGCTTATGAGGATGGCCCTCCGAGAAAGAAAGATATCTCCTGACTTCCGTAAAATTTCTTGAAGGTTCAGACATACTTATTCAATATGGCTGGCTGGTGTGTTGCTATTGCGCTCGCTCTGTCCACGCTGTATGGTCAATACAAAGTCATCAGGAAAGACAACCCCGTGCCATTCTCTCGCGCTGAAAATATCATATACGGGACTTTTTCACGGTTCGCATGGAGCCTGGCACTAGCTTGGGTAATCTTTGCTTGCCATAACGGGCTTGGAGGTATGCGTAGATTATTGTTTAGTATGACTGTGGAATTTGCAGTAGATTGTGTTATACTACGTCTGCATGTATTTACCTTGAGTCTCACGCCTCCTTTGGATAACCAACTTTGCCCGATTTGCTTTGTAATTTGATTCTGTCGGCGACAATACGAGACAGGGTGTAGAACCGGGCGAGTATTTTTCTTCATTGGGAGATTGTTTTAGGGACTTCGCCAAAGTTAAGAAAAATATTATTTTACATAGATAAATTACCTGTTCCTAATTTACTTTTGTGAAGGATCTGTCTGTGACAAGACCTAGATTCTGGTGGTGTTAAAGTTCTTTTTGTCTAGGGCAGAATACATCTAGATTTTGACTTAATATCCCGTGTATTTGACGGATCTATGAGTGATCTTGGCATGTAGCCACTAACCTTTGTACCGGTGACAATTCCTTCGCAGTTTTTATGAAATGATTCTCTCCCCCTCCCCCCCCCTTGAGGGGTAATCTATGGTGTTAGGGACAATTGACGGTATACTTGGCCATAGAACCAACAATGTCATGTGATTTTTATCTTTATTTCTATAGAATCTTTCAATGTAGCAATAAAAACTTTTTTTAATTACTTTTTTTTTTGTTTGTTTCTGTTTACAAGGTTTGGTGAACAAATTCTTGTCGGCTCGATTCTGGATTCCACTAGGCCGGCTGACGTACTGTGCTTATCTGGTTCATCCCATTATCATCTTCGCTCTATTTATGTCGTTTGATACCGTCCGGGCCTATTCTGATATGCATATGGTAAGCGGGTCACTCAGTACTTATCAAGTTATACAGCGAGCCAAGAAAACTGTCTGAAAAATTGTAGGTTAGGGATAATGCTGACATTGGGTGAAAACGCTGGTATTACCACGATAACAACGTCATGCTGTTGACTGTCAAAAAATGGCAGATATGTATTTATCATCCTGCTGTTTATGAAAAATAGAGCAATATTTATTTAGTTTGCTTTACTTTGCTTTGTGATTGGTCGAGAAAGTCTCGTCACTTTCTCAACCAATCAGCAGATCCATAACTAAAACCAATTTCGACTTGGTCACCCGCGCTTTAGGCAGTGTTCTTGTCTTTGCTTTGAGTTTTCATTGGCTGCTTGCGATATTTCCCTTCTTCTGATTGGCTGGTGTGATGTCGATCAACTTGGTTTTGAATTGGTTTTGTGACACTTAATCGTTACAATTGTTCCATATGAAAATGAAACCTTTTTACAGAACACACTATGTTGTCACCTGGAAGTTATGTTACACTAGATTTCGATCTTTTCCAAAAATTTTTACCATAGAGCTGAGAGGTATAGCGACTGTTGCCCTTACCTTATGAGCGTTTTGCGTTTCGTTGATTTAGCGGTAACCGTGTCTTTTGTGTCTCACTAGGCATTCTGTTATGTCGGCGTACTTGGCATTTCGTATGCAGTGGCCTTTATTGTGTCGGTATGTGTGGAATATCCCATGATGCAGTTGGAGAAGTTTATATTCAAAGGGGACAACTAAGTGCAGAGGTCATGGATGGAAGTGTCTGGCACGCTTCATTTGTCAATGTGCTCTTCTAACACTGATATATAAAGTTATGATCATAGAGAAACAGTCCTAAGAATACACCCAATGCAAGTGATAGTTTATATTTTTGATGGCTGATCTTGAAATGAGATTGTTAATACGACGTCGTTGTTAACATCTTTGATCGTCAGCAGCTGGCATTGTCCTCAGAAGGCGTCTTCGGGTTCGTCAGAGAATTTTGCGCAAATGCTAACGCAGAAATAGTTGTGATTCGCATGACAGTAATTCAAATTGTAGGCAGTTGTAGATCAGGAATGTTTTCGTTCAAAAGCCAGGTGGTAGTCCTTGGCTGCTGAAGCAATATGTGATATATATTGCACTTACATGCAGCACTGAGTTGTGAGAAGAAGGGCTTTTTCTCAAGACAAAATAGTTTTTGAATAATGTTGAACTGTAGTTGTAACGTAACAGTTATTAACTCAGTGCATTGAGGTGATTGATTACAACTTTCAATCTTCTCAACGTTTTATTTAAGTTTTTGCTTGAAATGTTGCTGCCTAAATTTTCCGCATATTTCAAAATGAACTCACAGTTTGCCTGAACACTTGAAACGATTACAAATTACACGGGGGATTTTATGAATTTATAAACACGTTTTAATCAAGGGTGTTTTATTTTTTGACCGGTAATGTGAAACTGCCGGAATTTTTCACTGATTTCAAAGTTAACTTAAACTTTCTTAACGATTTCAGATTGCAACGATGATTTCAGGGTTTTTATCTGTACGACAGTAATTTAGGTAACCTTTCTTTGGTGTCTTTCTAGCCTGCACAGCCGCCTTTTAAGTGATAATTTTGAGCGGCGGCGCTGTGAAAATGAGCGGCAAGGCTGTTCTTGCGAAACACAACATTTATTTTCATCGAGCGCCCCCAAAGGCGCTCGCAACGCAGGAGCGCTCTGAGTATTGACGGGATCATTGATGGTAATTTATCACGTCTCTAATTAAAATTGAAGCAGGCCCTTCGCTTTTACCCCAGAGTTAATTCTGATGTCATAGGGCACATTAGATGTATCCTTGAAAAAATATCCATTAAGTTTTACTTTCAAAATGTTGTCTTTCGCGAAATTTGCCGTCGTCGTATAAGCTTCTTCTAGGTAGCTTATTTCAGTCACAGAAGGGTAGCTTTTTCTAATTTTATTATTACTATTTTATTCTTTGCAAATCATGATAGAGTGTGTGTGACGCATAAAACTAAATATAATCATCATAAGTGAAACTGAATAAAGTTGCACGTACTAAAACCAGTTGTTATGACACGGTGTAAGTTATGCACCACACGATACCAAAGCCTTTTAAGCACTAGCCACGAGATTGCAATTCATATACCTATTTTTAAACTGAAGAATCCTTTTGGGGCCAAGCTTTTTTTTCTTAAGTAGTGCACCTGGGAATATTGAGAGCGAACAGAATTTTTGAATCAAATGCCGTATTTAACTATTTTAGTCGACTAAAATAAGAGTTAAGTTCGGCACATGTGAAGTTCGACGTTTGAAATGAACTGGGCTTGGCTTACAGTGTGATATTACTTTTGACATCTGCATGACCGCAGTCAAAATTTATCACACAGGAAAACCTAATTAGCATATGTGTAGTTAATTGTCTAATTAGCATATGTGTACCTAATTGTGCATATGTGTACCTCGGTCGCTGGTACAGACCTCACTGCGTTCGGTCTGTAATGGCGACCTCGGTCAAGATTCTCCCATACAGACCGACCTAGCTCGGTTAATAAGATGTTTATCATATGGCTGTGTCTTATATGCCAATTTTTAATATTCTTTGTACTTTTTTTTTCTAGATCGGTCTAGATGCCGGTCTTGAAGGGAAAATGTAGACCGCTTTCAATATTGATTTCAGCCAATCAAATTCGTGAATTC